GTGTGTGTGTGTGTCTGTGCAAACAGCGCTACGCTGATACGCAGTATCGCACGGCGGAGCTCGCACGTTTCTAGAATCGACCGACACGATTAAATTACCGTAATGACCGCGTTGGGAGCCGTTGAACGGTATCTCCGCGTTAGCCGCGCCGTTCTCACCGCGACTCGCGATGCATTTTATCCTCTCGCCGGAGTGCGAGCGAAAGAGAGAGAGAGAGAGAGTGAGAGAGGGATAGGGGGAGAGGGGGGGGGGTTGGTATGCGTTTTTGCATATATCCTTTGACGTGGAAAAAGGGTGGAGCATAGGAGCAAGCGGGCAAAGAGTTTTCCAGCCTGCTTTATGATCTCGTCGCTGCGTCGCTAAGTCCCCCTCGACAAACGACCCTTTGTACGTAAATACCATGAATAAGAGCACGGCCGAGGGGGAAGGGGGGAGGGAGCGTTCTTATCTTCCATTAGTTTGTTGCGTAATTTCTCATTACAATGCCAAGATTACGGTTTGCCTTAGGATCCCTAAATTTCAGCCGAGTTGAATCCGGGGAATCTGTCCGCGCACTTGTCTCCCTCTCTCTTTTTCTCTTCTCCCTCTTTGCTGTGATCGCTCGAAATACCGAAATGCGCGGTATTTAAAACGTGTCTTTTATTCTTCTTTGTTTTCTTTATACTGCAGTGGTAATACACGAAGATGCGCGGTTCTCCTGATCAACGGAAGTGCCTTCATTCAGTCGAGGAAGAGAGAGGAGAGAGAGAGAGAGAGAGAGAGAGAGAGAGAGAGAGATAGCGAGATTCGATCAAATTTTCTTCATCTCGACGTTTCTTTTTAACCAATCTCTTTTTTCCATACATAAAAATTGAAATCAGTATTGATATGCGGAATTAAAATTAAAGAGGGAAGCTAAATGGTATTCGTATCCGAGGTTCTCAAATGTTCGATCACTAAAAATTAATTAAAAATGAAAATGTTGGAAAAAATTCCGGCTCCTGGCAATCGTCTACCGACAAGACTCTCCAGATTCGAATGGGTTAAAGGACAGCGGGTGATTGCGATCTACGAGCCGTGTTCGTTGCGACTCGCACGGCTGATACTCGTGCGCTGCACGACCCCGATTCGAATTACCATGTAATTTTTTATAAATCGGATTCGCGAGCGGCATTAGAACGCTTTGAGGGTCCTCCTTCGTCGCAACTTGTCATCGTTCTCGTATCCCGTGTGTTTATTACATTTTACGCGCTGCTACGATTATTTTTGCAGATCTGTCGACGATTTTCCATTTATTCCTTTGTACTCGGCGAGACTTGTACTCCCTTGTGTATCAAATTGATTAAAAAAATCCGTTTGTTTTTTTCCTGCACGGCTGTTACATTATTAAAACAGCGAACGAACTGTTTGATCAATCTGATAGCTTTGAGAGGGAGGGAAGAAGAGAGAGAGAGAGAGAGAGAGAGAGAGAGAGAGAGAGAGAGAGAGAGAGACATGAAATACAGAAAAAAAGAGAACGGGAGGACATATATTTTGATATATTTTATAGTAATATGAGATACACGGCCGCAGTTTTCTCGTTGGAATATAAACGACTCCCCTTTTTTATTTTTTACAGGAGCGGCATATTGTCGGAGAAAAACGCGCGTTTTCGCTCAAAAGCGGCACTGCAGCGGCGGCGGCCGATCTTTCGTCAAGGTAAACGGATGTGTTATATTCATGCGACATTAATCGGCGAATCTTACGAAATCGCTTAGTCACGATCGTTTGTTGACTCGCGCTCGCTCGGTGGGAACGGAAGGCTTTTCGTCGTGCGTTTTCGCGCAAGCAGCGTCTTAGAGCGATAGCGGAAGGGTGGCGCTCGCGTGAAAATTCGCCGACAGCGGCTCCCGCGGGAGGAGAGTGGGAGAGATAACCGTGTGATTTTGCAGTTTCGCGAGCGTAATTGTTCGCTGAACCAATTGTCGACGTCGGGAGGGGCTGGGAAAAGGAGGATTTGTTGCTTTGGCGTTTCTAGACAAACATAAGCGATGCCGTGAACCGAGTCAGCAGCGCACCGTGCACGTCTACAATGAAGAGACGCGCCCTCGCAAACGGTGGAAGATCCTCGCGACCTGATTCCGCGCTCGCTTGTTTTAACGTTCCGAAAATATCCATACTCGCCGTTCTCTCGCTCTCTCCATTAGCGCGCGAGCGCGCACGAGAGAGAGAGAGAGAGAGAGAGAGAGAGAGAGAGATGTCCCAGAATCGGCGACCTTAATTTCGAGCGAGATCAATAACGCGTGAAGGCTCGTCGTTAAATTTGCACTCTCGGCTCTCGTTCGCGCGGCTAAATTTCGCGGATAGAAGTCCGTCGGAGAAGCGTTGGACGACAAGAAGCGGTTTTTCCTCTCCTTCTCTCTGTGACTCGCGAAAATTTGGAGAAACCAAAGAGGAGCCCGCGACATTTTATACCTGCCTCTCTCGCGATTTATCCCGTTTCCGGGATCTCACCGCTGAAATATTACCGCGCGACTCGCCCTGATGTATAATACAGGATGATTTCCGTGCATTATTATTCCGGGCAGACGCGCTGCTATCGCATAAATATGTAATCGCGACAAAATCGCACGATTGTGATCATATGGTCACGACCGAGAGAAAGACAGACAAGTGCTTTTATCAGGGCATTGCTTTCGCGAAGCAACGCGTTTACAAGAAAGTATTTTATGAAAAAGTTATTGCGCGATCAATCGTGTTAGATGACACTTAATACCTAGTTCTAGCCGTTCCAACGGCTGCGTTCATCGATCGGGGTATGTGACATTTCTGTAAATGTTCGGTTTGTATCGGGAGGATAAAGAGAGAAAGAGAGAGGGAGAGACAGAGAGCGCGTACGCTAAATACGAATTTCAGATCTAAGTCTCGCGAGACTTGTCGTCATCGATAAGATTTCGCGAAGCCTTTCGCTATTCACGGTCGCGCACGGTATCGCTGACGTGCGCGCGTCTCCTGATTATAAATCCTCTTTTATTCGACGGCCGCGTCGCCGTACTGTAAACGCGGATAAACTTCTCGTAAGATGCGATTCCCATCGAATCCGCGTTAAATCAGACGGAACGTCAGGAACTGCCGAGGCAGAGGGGAAAGTCGCTTTCAGAATTGCACGCTTGCTCTCCCCCCCTCTCTCTCTCTCTCTCTCTCTCGTACCTACACGTACACACATACGCATATCTCTCGATATGGAGAAGCGGCCCGCGATTTTATATCTCCGCTGATAAAGCGCCTTCCTCTGTCTAACGCGCGGCGTCACGCCGCGTTTCCTCGTCGGCGAGCCGCTCGCTCGCAGCAGGGAAGTCGATTTCTATCGAGTGAACACCAAATCGAATCGAGTCTTCCGTGCGTACGATGTCGCAAAATCGCGGAGGGAAAGAGACGGTGAGCGAGAGATAGATAGATAGATAGATAGATAGATAGATAGATAGATAGATAGATAGATGGATGGATGGATTGATAGAGAAAGAAAGAAGAACATCGCGCAAGGAGACGCGCGTTATAAATTATTTACATACCTCTTCAACTTCTCGCGCGTTTCCCTCCTCTCCCCTCGCCGCGCATTGCTGTGCCTAACCGCATCGCGAAATCGCAGCCTGGCAAATATACGATAAACCATTGTCAATTATCGCGCGCGTATCACTCCGAATCAACCGAGAGATTTATTTTTTCGATGATTGACAGGCTGCGATCGTCTGTACGGGAAAGGGGGAGCAAAGACGGAAGGGCAAGAGAGCGAGAGGGGAAGAGGGGATAGGGGAGGGGGAAGTGCGGTTTGGTTGCGCCGAATTGGAGTGAAATGGTGGTATTACAAAAAGAAATACACACTTTCCGTCGGGTGATTTCTCCCTTCCTCCCTCTTCTCTCTCCCGCGTTCCCTTGCCTCCCGGAACCCTCGCTCGTTCTTCATCCCTTTCGTATCTGTCTCTCCTCTCGCTCTCCGTCTCTCTCCGCGCGGCAAGGTTTGTACCGCGAAACGATTTCGCGTCACGAGCAGAAATTTTCGTCCCTAGTTCCGTCGCGATGCGACGTCCCACGGCTCGCTTCGCCCCTCCGGCCCCCGGGGGCCATTGTTTTCGTCCGTTGCGGCGTGGATCGACGCGGAAATATATCCTCGTTCGAGAGTTTTTTAATGTATTCCAGAATTTCGGCCGGGCACGTCCTGCTGGGAGCTGTCACGGGGGTAGATGGACGTCGGTGGTGGAGATGATGGATTCAGCGAAATTAAATGACGGATCGCGTCGTCTCTTTTAGCTTAGCGCGCTCGCCGCTCGCTCGCTCCCGTGCGCTCCGCCGCGATTTCGGCGGGACGAAATGGGCGAAATAAATTTCTATTGGCCTAGTTTGTGCCGGAGATCGCGATTACGGGCCTTCCGGATTGTTTAATTTCAAGCGCGCCTGCATCGCGCGTGTTCGCTCGAGCGCGAGCGTGAGTCGACTGCGCGATGGAGTTTCATAAATTCCTTTGAAGGGGAAGACGTATGTGTTACGCGGGCGTCGTGCTTCTCCCTCCCGGCGCCGCGTAGAAGGACGACACGTAGTTTTCTAAGTTTCATGTACGTTTCGTTGCGCTCCCCCTACATTTTGTGAGGGGTTCCATTAGGAGTTATCATTTCACCCGTCGCCAGACGGGACGGGAGCTAATGGTCGCCCCAGACAGAAAGGGAGAACAATTTTCCTGTTTACGTAAAAGACAAACAGACAGAGGTTTTCAACGCGGAGGAGAGACGCCTTATCTTCCTCGCTCTCTATCTCTTTCTCTCAATGTCCCCAATCAATATCAATTCAAACGTTACGCGAGACACAAGTCGGTGGAAAATTCTGCAACGGCTTTGTTTTCTCAAGCGCGCTTTCTCTCTCTCTCTCTCTCTCTCTCTCTCTCTCTCTCTCTCTCTCTCTCTCTCTCTCTCTCTCCCCCCCCGGCGTTGGTAGCATATATCGAGTGTTTACCATGAGATATAAATGTGCACAGAGTAAACAAGACTCACCGGAGTCGAAGGTCACCTCGCTAACCATGATCCAACGGCCTGAGAAGTGCAGTCGTAGCTTCACGAATTTTCCGACTCGATGATGAAGCTTGATCGTGATATTCCGCGAGGACTCGAAGATCTTGTCTTCCATATACGTGTAGGTAATTGGCTTGCCCGTGTAATACTTGCCGCCGATGCTGAAGAGGATATCGACCTCCGAGAACACCTGTAACACGCAAGTCGGGACGGTTACTCTAAGTACTTTGAATATATGAATCACTTGAGATACGTGCGCTGTCTAATTTCCTTGGAATGAAGTCTCGTTGAAAACGGGCGGGAATTCGGTCGAAGAGACAGCGAAAATATTCGAAATTGCAGGAGCGGTTCCGTTCAAAAATTTAGGATGACTTTCGTCAAATTTTAATTGAGTCAATCGATGTTTAATTCGGCCGACAAAGTTGCCGGGATCAGAGATAAAAGTTTGTCGTCATGAAAATTGAATATGAAAATGTTATCTTGTTCTCTTCCTTTATAATCTATATTTAAAGCTATTATCAATCTCTCTCTCTCTCTCTCTCTCTCTCTCTCTCTCTCTCTCTCTCTCTCTCTTTCCCTCCCTCTCTTTCAGGTATCACTTGCTTGTTAATAAACACCGGGTTATTATTTCTATGGTAATTGCTGGCTGACAAATTACGTAGATAGAAATCGCTGTTGCAAAATTCTGCCGATCAATAATCGATTGGTTTAATCGGACTTTGACGAACGTCACCCTCAGAGCGAGTTTTTCATTCATATTTTCACTCGCATGACTGGTTTTTTTAATCGATTAGAGTGAACTCATCTCCGGCATTAGTTTTGTTCCTCAGTCTTAAATGAAAATATCCACTCGACGATCCAGAGTGGAGAATTCGCTCTGTCTGAGAGAACATCCGCTCGAGTGCGAGCGACTCGGGTGTCGTTCAACTTCTCGAGCGTAATTTCGTCCAAAGACATTTAAAAAGCGCGCACAAAAGGTCGCGCAAGCAGATACGAACGATTAGGCAAAAGTAATTACGCGAGCGCGACTGCGGCGGCGGCGATGGCGGCCCGGGGATCGCCACAATGAAGTCGCACCGAGATATTTATTAAGCTCTAAGACGAACGGGATAATAGTATGAATTACGCAATGAATAAGCGCGCGCGAGCGGCCCGACAGAATTTATCGTACGTATTACTCGCATGAGTGCCTCGTCGGCATGAAAGAGGAAACACAGTACATATTTCGTAACAGCGAAATTCCTATTCCGCCTCTCCGAGCTACTTTTTCACCTCCTGAACAACCGCATCGCGCGCCCGTAAATTTTTGACCGCGGATAGCATTTTTCAGGGCTGACTACTTTCGCGCTCGTAAATTCACGGACGACGACCTGACAGGAAAGGAATTTCGTCGTCACGGAATGCAAGCCCTTACGAGAGAGGGGAGAGAGAGAGAGAGAGAGAGAGAGAGAGAGAGAGAGAGAGAGAGAGAGAGAGAGCTGTATGTGGCGCCCCGGCAAAATTGGGGTCGATGGGGATTGCGCCGGAGGAAATCGCGCGTCCTCCTCCTCCTCCTCCTCCTCCAGCGCCACTTCCTAGCCGGAATCGATCGTGACATCGATCGCCGAATTTGCGTGATTAACTGCGAACGACGGCGGCGACGGGTCGCGCGAGGGAAAAATGATTTCTACTACGGTTAAACGAGTAACTCCGGCTGATATGAAATAAAACGGATTACGCCGGTGGATATTAGGTAAAATGGATACCCGCGCGGATACGCGACATTGATGGATGGAGTCGACTCGAAAACCTCACCGCTCGAAGGAGATTTACCGACAAAGTGCGGCCGAATCGCACTTCCCTTCCCCCCCCTCTCTCTCTCTCTCTCTTTCTACTTCTCTCTTTCTCTTTAGCGAAAAGCCGTCTGGTACCTTTGAAGATGTTATAAAAGTTTAATGTGTCCCTAAAGTTCGATGGAGTATATGATCTGACCATAAATCAACCATTATCCGCGCGGGGTATTATCCGTAAGGTCGCTTTTTGTTAGTGGAAGTGTATCGAGAGATTGTGCATCCATATAATATATATATTATATACTCCATGTGCTCGTGTTCGGCATCGCGATTTCGACTTTACGATCCGTCCTTACTCCCCCTTCGTTCCTTTTTCTCCTCCTTTATAAAACGGTCGACGTAAAAATATATTACGCCTTCTACGTTGACACGCGAGTCGAAGTTCGTCGGACGCGGACGTCGCGGGGACGGGAGAGTGAGCGAGCGAGCTGGGGAGGGAAGGAAGGATGGAAGGAAGTATGGCAGGAAGGAAGGAAGGAAGGAAGGAAGTATGGAAGAACAGAGTCGCGTATCGATCCGTTTCTTCCCGCGGAAGGAAGACAGCGTGTGACGCGCGGAGGTAATCGAGTTTTCATCGCGCCGCGAAAACGCTGGCGCGGGGAAAGCGCAGCGACGACGCCGACGGGGACGAGGGCGGGGGCGGCGCGATTGCCCGAAACGGTCTCGTGTACAAACGGCGCGCCGAGTGTGCGAAGTGCCTGTTGAATATTCGTAAGTCACGGGCCATTTGAAATTCCGAATATTCCGGCGACGGCGCGCGGCGGCGGCGCCGGATAATCTGGAATTCCGTAAGTTTCGATTAATGTTGAATAATTCCATGGGGGGTTCTCTTAAGTGGACGCCGGACTCTCCGTCACCGTGCTCGTGGATGCTTTCCATCTTGGCTTTAGTCGCCTAGCTAGCTAGCTAGCTAGCTAGCTAGCTGGGTAACGCGCCGAGTCCGACGACGGCGACGGCGGCGGCGCGGGAACTGGCGGAACCCAGTAATTTGTCGAGGAATTCTATGTGTGCCATATTTCGCCGGAATTGGAGCGGGGAATATCATATCGCGTAAAGTTGATTGTCAGAGTGTATAGCGGCGCGGAACCGCACGTAAGAGCTTGTAAAGCGACGGCTCTCTAAAAGTTACCGAGTTACCCCGTCCGCCGGGCGGGTTCGCCGAGCGATAAAGTAAGTTCCTCGCGGCACTAGATTTAGGTGGATGTATTTAATAATAAAGATACAGCCACCTGTAAAAAAGGAAAATCCCCAAAGCGGAGCGGGAGAGAGCCGGTGTGTCTTCGGCTCGCTCCTCGTTGGGCTGCTTTCGAAATCTCCCCGAGTCGCGTTCGACTCTGACTCCTCACACATAGAGCGAATATTTTCATTCGAAAGCGGAGACTGAGTCTGATGGAATCTCGACGTTTGTTCGCCCGAAATTCCACTCGAGAAACTCGACAGAGTGATAATCGGGTCACTCGAATCCGAGTTATGTCAACTCGCAGCGAGTTCCGTCGTCTCATATGAACAAATTCACCCTAATCGCGACTTAGCGAATTCATCGGTCATGGAATTAAGAACCCATCTTGAGTTTGAGTCAAACATCCATTCCTCTGCGACCCGAACGGCGGTATTAACAATATCGAGCGCATCTTCGCTTATTTCGAATGAACACTTTGTTCCGCGAAATTCAGACAAGTCTATGACGTACGTCGTACGAAAAGAAACAGAAAAGAAGAAGACCGCCAGGGGGATGGTGCTGCCGCACATATCACGGAAGTTTCGCGCAGCACCGAAACTTCGACAGAGTTTAAAGACGGATGTGCCGCGGCCGAGTGTCTTTTTGCCCTAAGCCGCTCCGCTAATCGCTTCCACGGTCAGCATGGCCACCGACTCGCCTAACCACGGGGAAAACCACGGTGACGTCGTTTACACACGCGAACACGGGAATGCGCGATAATACAGCGCGGTAGCGGATTCCTTTCCGACTTACGCACCTACGCACTCACGCACGCGAACGAGCGAAGCGTCTTCTCGCTCTCCTCTCGTATTTTGCGATGTCGTTGCGCGTGGATCCCGGGAATGCATTTCCAATGATGCGGTAGACAGGCAGTCGGCCTATCGGAGATTCGGTTATCCTAATCCGCGTCATGTAAATCCAATTTCCAGAGGTTTATCTCGCGACAATGGCGGCGCGGGGCGATACGCGCGGCGGGTAGACGCGAGATCCGGCGGTAACAGCAGCCAGCCAGGCAGGTAATATCGACATGTCGATGCACCTTGCTCGTCTTGCGCGTAGGTGGTGCATGAAGATAGGTCGCCATAAAACTCGTTTGCACGGGCTCTTCGTGCTACGTTGTTGCTGCTGTTGCCGAAAGTCTGGAGGGAGAGACGAGCGAGAGCGGAGACAGAGAGAGAGAGAGAGAGAGAGAGAGGAGAGGGAGGCAGGAGAAAATAGCGATACGCGTGTGTGTACACATATAGATATTCCGCCGGTGCGTGCACTGAGCGGGCGGAATCGCTCGGCTTATCGGATGTAATATGTAGAACGAAGCGCGCGCGACGGTCTCGATGCGGAAGTAAATCCTGTTTTAAAGTGCGCCTCTCGAGAGAAGAGGAGAGTGAGGGAGGCGGAAAAGGAGGTCGCTCCTCTACGCGACGGGGAGATCACGTCGTCGTCGTTGCGTCGCGCTACATCGTTTCGAAGAAGGAGAAAGGAAAAAAACTGGGGAAACATGCGAGGGATCGTAAGTGCTCTGATGAGCGCGAGCAATTATACGAAGGGACGACGTGCGTCCAGGGGGAGGGAGAGGATTGCTTCGACGATGAACTAGGCGATATCTCTCTCTCTCTCTCTCTCTCTCTCTCTCCCTCTCCCTCTCCGGGAAAGCGTGTATATTTTCCGACTATTCTGCGTAATTAGGTATTAAGAAGCGTGAGAAAGAGAGGGAGGGAGAGAGAGAGAGAGAGAGAGAGAGAGAGAGGCATTTTGCGCTCACCGGGGGAGGGGGAGGGGGGAGCGAAGGGTGCAGGGAGGAGGATAATAAATGCCCGAGTCGGAGGACGTGGAATTTCGCGGATAAATGTAATTTATCGGCAGGGCGTTATCGAGCTGCAGATGCGGCTCGCGAAAAACGAGGTAGCAGCGCGCTCGCGTTCACGGCCCGGCCGTTCGGGCTGTATTAGAGGAGGCTCCTAGAATAATTATGACAGCGCGTACACATTCCATTTCGTTCCATTAGCCGGCTATGGAGTTTTATGCATTACGCTGAATAGGTAATACGCCTTGGTTCGACCAAACACGTAACGCAGCGGCACGGCGCGGCGCGGCGAATCCGTCGGCGAAATTCAAGTGAATCCGGGAGGAAAGAGCATTCGT